GATATCAGGGATGCAGATGCACAGATAATGTCCATGCAAAGACACACACCATACAGTCACCACTCATGGGGCGAGGCCCCAGGGGCAGTCCTGTGACTCCTGGCCAGAGACTGCCAGCCTCTGGGACTGCACAAGTGAGTATTTCTGTTGCCTAAGCCACCAATCTGTGGTGTTGCCACTTGAGGCCTGCAGACTAACACAGATGCAGTGTGGTTTAGAATGCAACCCAGTGAGAAAAACCCCTGCAAAATCAAAAAAGAAGGAAGGACCAACAAGGCTAATGAAGAGCCAGGAAGGGCTGGTCCAGTGCAGAGCCCACGGGAAATGAGTCATGATTGAGGATGTCAGTGCTGCTCGTCCACAGACATGAGAAGGACTAATGAGATTCCCAGAACTGGCCAAGAGGAAGTCCTCAAGCTGAGCAGGCATGGTGGGGTCACTGGGAGGAAGCCTGGCCGGCGGGGGGGGGGCACTGAGGACAGGGAGAAGAAGAGCAGTGAGGACAGGTGGCCTCGAGGGAGGGAGGGCTGTGAAGGGGACAATGAAACCAAGGGCAGGTGGCTTGGCTTTGCTCTCTGATTACGCGGAAAACACTAAAGCTTCTTCCCCAAGATCCTGTGCTATGGATCACTTGGAGCTGGGGGAACAGTGACCTCGAGAGGCCAGAGGCCTCCAGGCGGGACTTAGCATGGGACACTGCCGACTTGCAAAGCACACTGAGAATGCCATTTCTGGGACTCCTTGCCTTGAGAACGCTCAGAAAGAACACGGATAGTATATTCCATTCTGGCCATTCCTGTGTGCACTAAACAATTTCTCTCATCTTATAAATGGCAAATCTCCTGCCTCCCTGTAAGACGTCGCATTCCCGCACGCACAGCAGTAGCAGTGTCAAAGGCAAATATGATCTACAGACTGTTTTACTGCTGCGCTTGTAAACTAAGCAGCAGTCTGGGCCTCTGACAGATTGTGCCTTTTCCTATGAAAATTAACAGTCATTTTTTTCTTCTCCCATAAACTGCTGTGAGCACAATGAATCAGGAAACTCCAGGCTTTCCTCAGTGAGGGCAACATTGTCTAAAACTTGATGGATCAGAGACTGCAGCTGTGGCATTCATTCAGTGAACTAAGCTGCTTGTTGTTGTTTTTTTCCACTTTCAATTTAATCAAAATTTCAGCATGTGGAGAGTTGGCAATTGAAGATTTCATGTTCTGTCATTAATTCTATCACACAGTACCCTTAGTGGAGGCAAAATCACCAAGAAATATTGAGCAAGAAACTGACAGAGGTGGAGTCATTGAAAATAGGAGACAATATGTTATTGGACAGACCCTACCCCACTACTTCCCTTCCTTTTCCCTAAAATATGAAAAACACTGGGTTCAAATTTGTATGTGCACAGGCAGAGGTACACGGATCCATGTGCATGAGTAAGTGTGTGGACATGCGTGAGCCTGGCTGTGGCCTGCTGGTTCTCATTCCCTAGAGAACCCCGCCCGGCACAGACACCATCTCTGCTAGGAAGGGAGGCGGGGACTTCATGGGGTTTGCCCTCCTCGGCCTCTGCCCACACTTTCCCTCTGTCCCAGTGCCTCCCGGGGCTGTGCACCTGGAAGGACACACGGGAGACGTGCCCTAGGACACTGCTTTTCAACACGGCACCTGCTCCGGGGCTTCTCTCTGACCCCTGCCTTGCAAACCTCCCTGGGTGACTGCAGCTCCACCCGCTTCCCATGTGCTCACTGTCTTCCCTTCTATTCTGTTTCTGTCTGGACTAGAAGTCTCTGAAGCCGATATTCATTCCTCTTCCTGCTCTCTGACCACCAGAGACACAGCACAGTCCACATCCACACAGCTGCTCACAGGATGCGCTCAGATATGAGGGTATAAATGTCCCGGTCACCAGACACTCTTTGGTCTCTGAGTCTATTCCTCTTATTTCTTTCTAACCTTAACTGAGACATTACTGTGTGCTTTCTGCAGATATTCTGCAGGACAGATATATGACTTGACACATACAGTTTTGTGTCTCACTGCTTTTAAATCAATACAGGGCTTGAGCATAAAGACCTACATCCTAGTTTAAGCTTCTGTGCCAACTGTAGGTGAGGGCCCATACCCTGCCACTTTACTTTCACGCCACTGTGCAGGAGGGATGAGGTCTGGAGAACTGGAGAAGGTGTGATCCCAGTGACATCGTCCCTGCCCTCAGGGGGCTCCCAGTCACCAAGGAAGTGGCCCTGAGACACGAAGGGCAGACAGGAAGTAGAAGCCCGTGGGCAGCCTTCCAGAGAGCAGGGTGCAGGCCCAGGCTCGGCTCTTCTGAGGATGATGGGGTAGGGTCAGGTGATGTCGCAGGGGCTGCCCAGCTCTCAGATGCCCCGCTGCTGCACGGTCCTTTATACAGTCTATCTTCATACTCCCCTGCTCTGAGACTCACCAAATCTGGCCATCTACACATTTTGACTTGAAAATTTTATCCCAGTACTCAGGAATGTTTGGTACAGCATGGAAGCTGGCAGTTGTCAATGACACACTACCTGTTCTGGCCAAAATAATTCTGTGTGGTGCTCAGCACACCTCCTGGATTGGTCAGCGGCACCGTCACCGCTGCACGCGGCTCAGAGCCTCTCGGGGCCCGGGGGTAACCAGCAGCCACCCAAAACACAGGGGTCTTTGTAGGAAGGTGCAGGCACCGAGAGACCAACTCGTTCCATGAATAAACCAGACACACGGCGTAAACATCGCATGGCTTCTCTCACGGGAAAACCCATGGGTGAATAAATTAAGAAGCAAAATAAAAGATAAATAATAGGAAGCAGGGGGATAGCTCTTTTGCAAATGGAAAGGGGACTGAGACATGGGGGAGAGGGAGGGAGAGAAGGGAAGGGGATGTAAAACGAATTAAGGTGTGTTATGTACATGCACCAGCCAGCCATGGTGAGCATAATCACTATGGACTGCAAATGTGCCAATAAAATCTTCAAAAATTTTTTTGAGAATTCAAAGAACTACTTGAGTCTTACCGTAACTACTATTGTACAAAATGCTCCATCAGTCTTTATAGACACAGATTCACCATCCTATGTTAAAACCTTAGAAACACATGTCTCACTACATTTATAATTTTCTTAATGATTTTTCTAAGTGAAAAATGGAAAAGGGTCAGAGAAAGTTCTGGCATGAAATGAACTACAAAAACAAAAATCTGTTTCAGAATTTCTTGGAGTGCAAATTGTGGTTAATGCCTTGTGAAGAATACCTATTTCAGATTAACTGAACTACTGGTTTTAGAGCCAATCCTGGCACATTAATTTATATTTGTTTCTTTGAAGCCTTCTTCATTTATACCCAGAGCCGAAACATTATGCCCCCACAGCAACTTGGGAAAGTAGATTCTAAGAACAAGAACAGAAGAGTTCATACCCAGGAATATATGAAAGGTAGGAACTGAGTCTCCTGAACATGACTGAGATGTGTATTTTGCATTTGGAGGAAAGTCTAATACCTTGGTGCCATAAGCCAGTCAAGGGTAAGGGTGAAACAAAGTCAAAAGAGTTTCCACAAAAGAGCAGAGTGGGAGGCATTGCAACTCCAGGCCCTGAGGCATATATGGAGCATGCTGTATATTATAGCTCAGCACTAGTGGAAACACAGACACACCGACTAACAGAATAGAATAGAGATCCCAAAACCTGGAGAGCGGCCGGCCTCTTAAACAAATGGTGCTGTGAAAACCAGATGGCATGTGCATAGGATGGAATCTCACCCCATGTAAAACGCAACTCAAAATGGACCACCCGAAGATCTAATTAAGACCTGGAACCACTGACCAAGTACATGGAGACCCTGGTGGAAGCAATTATTATATTTTGGATGAATTGACGCTTATGTCCTGAGAATTTTGACGGAACTGACTTTAGTACTATGGCATCCAAGTAAGAGCTGATAATTAATGAATATTACAGCCAGAATCATCATCAAAGGAAACCAGTTCGTTGATAAAAAGTTTCATTAGCAACGTGAATGAATAATTTGAGAGAAAATCACTTGCTTTTCAGACACATAAACCTTATAAAGTAAAAAATAACAACTTCAGCAAAACTGCATATTTTTTTCTTATTTTCTAGACTTGGGATTTTCAATGATGTTTCTTGAACAGTTCAGACCGTCCAAACCCGGCACCTCCTTTACATTTCCCATCTCCCCACCACATAGCAGTAAGGGCAGACACCAGACGCCCGGCCCGACCCTGCTCGCTCTCACCTTCCTTGTCGTCGTGGTGGACGATGGCATCCTGAATCATGTCCGCCAGGCGGAAGCGCACTTTCTGGCTCTTGCCATGTTTGAGCCTCTTCAGGAAACCCTCCTGCTTCTGCAGAGCCCTCTCACGGTCGTAGTACGCTTTGATTTGCTCACAGCGGATGCGCTTCACCAGACACTGCCGCTGACCAAGGGGAAGTGACTCCAGCAAGCACTGGTCAATCTCCATCTCGTGGCATCGGAAGACGTTGCATAGCCGGAAGCAACCTGAAATACCGGAAACGGAAGTCACTACCCCCGTTGCTGAAAGTGTGGGAGTGGCCGCTCCGCTTTACCACACCCCTTGCACAATTCTAACTTCATCCACCTTTGTGCTGGAAATACAAGCTCAAAGCCCTTGCTACAGCCTGGGGGGAAATGGAGAAAGTTGATGCCTTACAGGAGATTTCATGGTAAGGAAACAAATAAGAGAATTAGATACAGATCTCGGTAGTTTTGCTCAACACAATTGCATCAACCAATTCTATGCTATTTGTATAAACCCAAAGGTCTGCATATTTACCCATGGTGCAAAAATTCTTTTGTCTAACGGAATAACACTAACTGAATTTTACATGTTAAATTTTGGCAGAAAAAAAAAACGCCACGCCTAGTCTTTCCTAACACCCTAATAAAACTGGTCTTCCACAGGGTAAAGATTGTGCTAGGTTAATGTGATCCAGTACATCTCCTGCCAATATGCTCCACCAGTCATCACTCATGTCTCACCAATCTGTCTCCAAATCCTTCTCTGTGACACTTATTTCTAAGAGATCTAACTATGGTATAAAGTATAAAGACAGAAAGGGCAGAGATTTGTTTCAGCATCTCAAAATCAAGAATAGGACCCTGGCTGTTGTGTTCTTTGTGCTACAAATAGAGCAGTTAAAAAATTGAATTCTCCACTCTGGATTTTAAAATATGCACCTTCTTTCAGGATGTTATTTCCTACAGCACCACCCAAAATACCTGCAATGAAATTGTATACTAGGCTAAAATTTTAACACTGGCAGAACATTTAAAGTGTTGCAATCCTAGAATCTGGCTCACAAATAAAGATTCGGAGAAGTGCTCATATATTGTTTTCTTAAAATATTTATGATGTGAGTCTGAAGCAAGTTTAAAAAACTATACATGCAGAAAATGTGGCTGATCATGTGCAATATCTGAGAACACATACAAAGGATCTGGGCATAACAACGCTGTTTCCATTTCTGTTTCTTTTGATGCTTTTTAAATTTCTATTCTCACAAATGCAAGTACATAAATATGACCATCTCTGTTTTGCAAGTAAAGAAATCTAGTTGAGAAAGGCTATGATTTGTTTAAGACCTGAGAGATGACTTTACAGCAGAGTGAAAAGTTCTCCATACAGGATTAAGTACAAACAAAAAGCCAATGGTTGTCTAAAGCTGGGTATTTAATATTCAGTTGCTCTGACATACATGGAAAGAAAAGAAAGAGAAATAACCATTGGGAATTCTGTGTTTGTTGTTTATTTGCATTTGCAAAAAGCTAAATGTTCTATTATCATGTTTTCATGAGACCCCTGATAAGTCTTCCCAAACATGGTGTTGGAAATACCAGCTAGCTATGTAGGCAACGCTCATTTTCCAGCGGCCTCAACCCCAGATAGACAGCAGTGGTCCAGCGAGAATGACAAACACTGGGACCATTCAGGTCTGACTCAAGCTGTCTGAAAGTGCTCACTAATACTGAGCAGGACTGGACTTCTGCTTTCAGCTCTGCCTGTTTGGATTTATCCACGTGGATGCTCACCACACCCTGGCTTCCAGGACGGTCCTTGCTTTGTCATCAGGTGCCTGGGAACTGCCAGAGCCACCAGAAAGCTGGAGTAAAGCAGCACCCCGAGTGTTATGCGCTGATTAGCATGCCCTGACAGTGTGGGATAATCTAATACACACAGCCAGCCTCCTGCTCTGGGCGCCTCGAAAGGGTCTCCTGATGAAACCATCCATTAACTTTTAAGGACTCTGCAGTGACAGCTTAGGAGTCCCTGGGCGATGCTTCACATGCTATCAGAAAGAAGTGGCAGGGCTTGCTCTCAAATTAGTTTCCTTATTTCTCTTAGGATTTGGAAGAATCAAAGGCCACAGGTGTTAAATTTCAAGTTCACACATGTATATAATACTGACTTTAGATATATTTTCTCATTGGGTAACAAAGATGCTTTGACTCTAAATAGTCTATGAGTTGTTTTATAATGTAAAAAAGCATCTAGATGTTGGATTTTATGATTTAAAACTTCACTGGGCACCGTGACCTTCCCTTGGTCAGCTGTGACCTGTGTGGGCATCCATCACAAAGGGAACATGTGGAAAACACCTGGAAGTCTGAAGCCCTGCATTCCGGCCCCTGGAACTTTCTAACCAGGGCACTAAGAAATCCCAGAGGGAACACCTCGCGCGACACCCACACAAGGTCACGCGCACTGTCCAGGCCAGGTCCAAGCTGTGCTTCCAGTTGTCACACAACAGGCCTATAGGTTCCGCCTGGCGCAACGCACCTGAGGGTTCTTCCCTGATGCCGCCGCTCCCTGTCCCGGCTCTCTTCCCACCCACAAAACCAAGCGTGGACCTCTCCGTACCATCCAGGCCTCCTTCTCACCACAAGGCGCAAGTCACGGAGCACCGCAAAAACGCACACGTGTGTTTGTTGTTGTGGCAGAGTATGACGAGCTTGCCACAAAACCAGTCCTTCTTCTCCTTAGACAACATGTGGATGCCCCTTTTCAGGTGCCCAGGCCTGGTCACAGGAGGCACCATGTGCTCCTCACCGCACACTCCCCCGTCCCAGATGGCTGCCTCTGAGCCTGGGGCCTGGAGAAACCACCTGGGGACGATGGCCACACATGCATGGGGCCAAGGTTGCTTTGTCGCTGCCTGCCAGAAGTCCTGGCAGCAGCAAGTCTGAATCTCCACTTCTATTATGCTTAGCCGCTGATATTTGGGGGCTGCAACTGTGACAACAGTTAACATCGCCTTCACTGTAGGGTGTTGTCAGGGAGTGATTTTTTTCAACAATGCTAATGGTGGTCCAGGGGAAACTTGAGCTTTCTGGATGGAAACCGTCAGCCTTACGATCTACCCGGTGTCGTACTGGCATACACTCAACTGGAAAAGTTTCAACAGGCACCCTGGAGGGGAGGGGGCAGCTCTGTAGTGCCTGCCTGTTGGTGTATGGATTCCCAGCACAGCTGTTTCAAGCTGCCTGTGTGACAATCAGGAAGGCAGGGCAGGAAGAGCCACCCCCTGCTGGCCCCTGGGTGTCAGGGTAGCCGGATTTTGGATGTCACTGAACCCGACTGGCTGGGAGAACTAGGCTTTCTGCTCAGCAGAGACAATAAGCCCTCAGGACTGCAGACTCCTGCAACCCTCCCAGCAGGCGTTCAATGCAGACAGCCTTCAGTCCCCTCCACAAGTGCAAGATGACAGCCAGAGAGGCCCTGCTCAGCAAACGGGCATCTCCTTGTGACCAAAACCGAGAACCAGCAAAGGAAATACAGAAAGGAAAAGGTGGAGGTGCATTTTCTAAAAAGAACAAATACAGCATCCAGCAGGGAAAGGCGTCATGCTATACCGTCGTTTACAGGACCCTATGAGCAACACCATGATGTCATGATCTCAGAACATCACAGCAAAGCAGAAAGATGAAGAATGAAGTTAAGGGCAAGAACTGATGAAAACGAACTCCTGAAGTTGTTCTCCTGTATGGCTCCTCTGAAGGCCTCAGCACATCCAGTGCTGGGATTTTCATACATTGTGACATTGAGGTACAAAGTATTAGGAAGGGCATAGACAGTCTGACCCAAGGGACATGTATAAAAATGCACACCTGGTTTTCGAGAGTAGACTTCTTCTTTCAAGAATTCATGGGTGTTTGATGCAATCGCCCCAGGTGTGGGCCACAAAGCACAGCAAGTCTGAACAAATATATATTGAGATGTAGACTTCACACCAAAACACTGTCAATGAAACACAAAACCTTTTGCTGTGTCATAAATACCATGAAGTGGATGAAAACAAAGGCTACAGACTGTGAAAACTGCTTGCTACCTACATATCTAATAAGAGAACCACGTCTAGAATATGTCAAAACTCAAAACTCAACAGTACAAAATACAATCCAGTTGGAAAATGTAAAAACATGTGGCATGACATTTACTAAGATTCAGGGATGACAAATAATCATGAAAAATGCTCAGCATTATCAGCCAGGCGGGAAGCACAAAATGAAACCATGCTGACATCTCACTGTGCATGTACTAGAAGAACAATCCCAATATCTAAAGGTGGCAAAGAGAGAGAGAAGCTGAATTTCTCCTATATTGAACACGCAATTGGCATGGAAAATACTACCGCCATTCAGGAAACTATTTGGCAGTGTTTTTAAAAAAATAACTACAGTGGACTCAATTCATTTGCGAGGGCTGGTTCAACTCAAGTTGGTCAGTGAAGGCTCAGACTCCTCTACACAGCCTGCAATGTCTCTCTCCTGCACACAGGCAGATCTCAGTGTCCTTGGAGAGACACCCGCCCAGGATTCCTCAGTTAGCCCCACCCAGGAGAGGATGCTGTCCTGTTCCTTCCAGAGCTCTCTAAGGGTTAGATCTGAATCTGAGACCATCTGGAAGCCCGAGTGGCCGGCTTTTCCATCATAACCCAAGTTGTTTGTATGTCACTCCAGTCATAACTCAAGGGTCCACTGTACCTCCTCAGCCACGTGCTCTCCCTGGGGTGGGTGTGTTGGAGCACCCTGCTTGGGCCATCTTTCCTGGACAGCACAGCCTGAGCCAGCAGTGTCCAAGGAGCAACACCAGGGAGATGAGGCTAGGACACCCGGGACAGTGCCTGTTGCGCGGCCAGTGATTTGTCTTAACTTTTGAACTCAATCTTGGTGGATACATTCTTCTCCTTCATGAACGGACCTCAAAAAACTGAGAGACAAATACATTCTGCTACCAGGTTCCACTATTCTTGGGAAGATCGGAAATATGTAGCTCATTGGTCCATTTTTCCAAGAGAAAAATGAATCATCAAAGTTAAATAAAAATGTTACAGTTTCCCTGTGACAGAAAACATACATTCTATAACTTTGAACCAGGTATATATGTGTATGGGGATTTAGGGGATGAATGCTATTTCCACTACACCAGCTCGTGGCTCCGGCTGTTTTCTCGGGACCACCGATGCTCTGTTTGCTGAGCAGCGGCTGTTGGTGCTCTGCCCGATGCCCTGTGCTGACAGATGTGCCCATCCCACCACCCAAGACCTGGCTGGCAGGGTCTGAGGGGTCCCAGCAGGGGAAGGGCCCACCCCAGGCTCGTAAGCCATGGTCACTGAGAGAATTACACGGAGCTACAGAGTTGTGTCCTCTGACTCAGGAAGACAGGACTGTGCAGTGATCTGCAGCAGAGTGAGAAGAAATGGGACGGTCAGAGACCTGCCCAGAGTCCACACAGCTCCCGCCATTCCTCCAGCGAGGGTCCCTCCCAGGAGCAGCCAACATCGGTGTGCCTGAACGCTCTCTCGGGCTTTGCTTCTGACAGCCAGGATCTAGGACACACAGGATGAGAAACATAGAGACATATAAATCCTCTCCCACTGCCTATGAATGTTCACACTTTTCACCAAAGAAACAATTGTTCTCATAGTTGTAAAATGTATACAAATTGAACATACCAAATCATGTGTGATTTCAACAATAGAAAATAATAAAAGCACAAGAAATAACAAGACATGCAAAAGAATGAAGCTGGTCCTGTATTTTACATCATATACAAAAATAACTCTATGTTGATTAAAGAGCTAAATTTAAGACCGGAGACTATGAAACGCCTTGAAAAAAACTAAGGAAGAACTTCATGATATTGTGCTTGGCAGGATTCCCTGGATATGACCCTAAAAGCACAGACAGCAACAACTGAAATAGATAAACAGGACTTTGTCGAATTTAAAAACCTTTGAGCATTGGAAGATGACAACTGAGTAAAAAGGTAATCAACCCATAGAATGGGAGAAAACATTTAAAGTCATATCATCTCTGATAAGTCAAGATGAAGATATATAAAGAACTACAAATCAACCACAAAAATCAAATAACCTTGTTAAAATGATTACAGAAATGCAGACATCTCTCCAAAGATGATATACAAATGGCCAATGAGTATAAAGATGTCCATCAGCAAAAATCACAGAACAAATTCAAGTCAAGACCAAAACAAGATAGAACCACTTATCATACCCTTAATTTCTGCTTTCAAAGAAACGGAAGTTAAGAAGTGTTGGTGAGCACATGGAGAAACTGGAATCCTCCTGCACTGTTCATGAGATTGCCAAATACTATCACGGAGGATCCTCAAAAAATTAGAAAGAGGGCAACAATCTGATCCTATCGTTATACTTCTGGGTATATTGACAGGAAAATAAGTCTGGTCTCAAAGAGTTGTTTGCACAAACATGTTCCTACCAGAACTCTTCACAGTATCCCAGAGGTGGATACAATTCAGATGTCTATAGATGCATGGATAAGCCAAATTATATACATAAATGAATATCACTTAGCCTTATAAAGGGAGGAAACCCTGTCACACACTACAGCATAGATGAACGGTGGAGACATTACATTAAGGGAAACAAACCTATCACTAAAAGATAGAGGCAGCAGAATTCCACTTACTGACTAGTCCAACTCTTAGCAAGCAGAATGGTGCTTTCCAGGGATGGAGGGAAAATGGGGGTTGTGCTTCCTGGATACTGAGCTTCAGATTTGCAAGAGGAAAATGGTCAGCAGATCTGTCACACAAAACATGTGAATATACATAATACTCCCGAGGAGGAGGAGGAGCTGTATGCTAAAAAGGTAGGGTGGGGCAGGGGAAGAAGAGGAAGGAAAGGGCACAAAAAGGGAGTGAAGATGTCTTATGTTCATGGACCGACGCCCACAAGGGATGGAAACATTATGTACTGCAAACATGCTAATAAAAATGAATTAACAAAAACTGGTTGTGATGTTAAATTTTTAACACAATGAAAAATGGGAAAATAGACATAAGAGGATCCATTATAGGGAATTTGATATTTTGGCTTCAATATTTCAGGAAAAATGTAGCAGCAAATATCGTTGATCCCACTTGGTAAAATGTTTGCTTTAAGCTCTGAGATCATAAAAGATAGCCATCTGGGAAGGAACTTAGCACACTTACAGGTACTGCACACACACACACACACACACACACACTGATATTTGACCATCAGCACCCCACAACTGCTCCAGCACAACTTCTATCCTAAGAGTCCTTGCTATAACAAGCTTCAGAGATTTTCTTTTTTACTGCAAATCCAGTGCCAACGAAACAAAGGAACAATAAAGATCCAAGACAAGAGTACAATCCAGTTCCACACCCACCCCAGAGCCTATGAAACCCTCCATGTCTTCAGAAAGTGCTAAATTGTAATGGCCTGGTCACCACGCTGCAAGGGGGCATCCCTTTTCACAGAGCAAAAATAGAAGAATGAAATTACTTTGGGGCAATCGGTCCCCAATTACCTAACAGTTGACATGTATAAGGTCTGTCTCTCATAATCCCGCGCTGATGCTCTCCTCTCAAAACTGGAGAAATAAACTTCAAGTATTTAAATAAACTCAAAGAAGGTTAATTCCTCTCAAGAAAATCAGCACTCCTTTTCATCTCACGACTTACAGCTACCTCTAAAAATTTAAATGTGTATACCTAGAGGCCATTCCTTGGGTTTCCATCCAATTCTTTGAGCATGCTTTTCTAGTGGAACAAGTGAGACAAATGCTTTTTTTATAAATTAAAATGGAAATAAAACAAGTACACCTGACATGAAATTACTGCATAATTTATGTTTTTTCACATAGATCTTTTATGCTCTCCTATGTATTTAATATTGCCCTTACAGCGTTTCTTTAATACCACATGGCTTGACGATGATAAATAGCTTCCAGTGGATATAGATTTATAATCACCAATGCCTCCAGTTTCATTTCTGGCTAAGGATAAATCTGAAGGGCAGCACCCGTGATGTGATGCTTGTGGTTCTTTGTCCAAGTGGGCCCGATGTCTGAGCCTGTGGCTGGCAGAGGGGACTGGGCCTTGAGCAACCCATCCATGTGGCAGTGGCAGAGCTGTGATTTACCCGACACAGAGCGCCAGGGCCAGCCTGGTTGCACCCGGGCCCTGCAGCTGCTCCTGTGGGTGGTAACTGTGTGGTTTCAGACCCTCACTCAACCATCTGCAGGCTGTGTGACTTTGCCTGAGAGCTTCTCCTCTGGGTGTCACGTCAGCACACAGAGAGGTGAGCGGTGCCAGCAGAAAGCCATCATGAGGACGGCTGCCACTGTAGCTATTCGGGTGCACGGCAGCAGTGTGCACCTCCGAGCCCCAGCATTCCAAACCTCTGCTCCTACCTCCCATGACTTCAAGATTTGCCAGCACCAACTGCTGCCCTGTCCTGTCCAGTAGAGAGGAGGAAGCTTTGGAACTGAAGCCTTTCCAGACAAGCTTGGAGCCCACGTGTCCCCAGTGTGGGGCTCAGGGGGTCCACTCTGGGGCCACACTCACCGGAGCAGGTGAGACCTTGAGCAGACCACTCAGACACGGAATCATCTGCTTGGCATCCACATTCCCACACTGCATCCTTAGTCAGCATCCCCAGCTCTGTTTGGAGGGACTCAGCTCAGTACCCCTGTCAGGCAGGGTTCTGCACAGCTGACCTCCCTGGTGCCCACATGGTCTCGGAGAGGATGGCATCACCTTAGACTCCGTCTAGTGGCTCCAGCCGGGCAGCTCCCAGACAATGAAACCCCATGCTCATTCTAGACCAAAGAAAACATGCTCGCCATTCACAATTCCACTGTATGTTCTTCCGTTTTAATTCAAATGTGTGTGTTCACATAACTACAATTTCATGGTTGCAAGTAAAATTGTAAAAAGGATTTCATCACATCCCTGGCTTGTGGACCTAAAGGGGCTAATTCATTCACTCATCTGCCAACCTATTCACTCATTAAAATATATTATTAAGCACTTGCTGCTAGGCATGCTTAGTCCCGGCACTTTAAGAGGCTGAGGTAGGAGAATCACAATTTCAAACCCAGTCTGGGCAACTTAGTGACTTAGCCAGACCCTGCCTCAAATTAAAATTTTAAAAGGCTGGGAATGCACCTCAGTGAAATGGTCCTAGGTTCGATCACTACTAATGCAGAAATATAAAATTAGAAAAAAAAAGGACAAAAGCTACCGTGTTTCCAGCTCAGAGGGATGCCAAGGTACAACACAGTCTCTGCGTGTAGCTTTCACGGCGATAAAATTCTCATACCATAAAATTCATCCTTTCCAAGGTTCACAGCTCTGTGACTTCAGTACATTCACAGACCTGATTGTGGAAGATTCTCGTCACGGAGAAGAAACTCTCACCCCCATCTTTCTTCACTCCCTGCAAAGCAAACACTAATAAAACTTTCTGTCTCCACATTCGGCCACTCTGGACCTTTGGCAGGGCTGGCATTGGGAGTCTGATCAGAAGGCCAAGAGGATAACAGGGACTGGGAGAGGAAGAGCTTTAGAGATGACGCAGGCCCCAGGTCCCTGAGGAGGGAGAAAGGGGTCAGGAAGGAGCCAAAGGAAGTGGCTGCAGTTTCAAGTGGTGGTGACAGGAAATGCGAGACGCCCTGAGAGCAAGAGGACTTGCTTGCAGGACTGCACTAGCAGGACCCGCTCACTGGGTGACACACTTCGGCACATGCATCTGAGTGTGAGCTGACTGTGCCTCAAGAAGGACACGGGCAGCCAGCCACAGGCATGTTTTCCTGCCAACATCTGCATGTAGTTTTTCATCTGAGTCTCTGCAGATAAGCAGCAGGTCTCATCTCATTGATTATTAGGTGTTTTAAAGCTATACAAATGACACACGGAGAATTAAGATGTGTTACACACACACACACACCAGCTCTTCACGATGACTGCGAGCATTCTGTAGTGCAAACGTGTCATAATAAAATGTGAAAAATGAGGAAATAATAGAATACATGAGTTTTAAAAGAGTACACTTACTTGTAAGTAACATCTAAATTGGCAGCATTATTTTTGACAGATTGTACTAATCATAGACCATCTCCATAAGACAAGAGCCCATCACAAATTAATGTTAATCAATAATTCCACAGGGTGGTATCAGTTGGTCATGAATTGAAGGGTGGCACCGCGACGGAACTTGCATTAGTTTATAGATTTTATTTTCATAACTTTCATTGCTCCCATTTAACATAGCATCTCCATGGCTGGTTTCAAATAAAAAAGGAACAAGAATGTTTTTTGAAATAGCCTTACATGTTTAATCTGTGTTCCTCTGAAATCTCTGCATATATGTTCAAAATTAATCAAATATCAAGAAAAAGAAATGTGCTAAATATTACAACAAGCACGGATGGTACAACCGAAATAATCCGAGATGGCATGTCACACTGAGAAAACAAGAAAATCATACAAACCAACCAGGCCCTCTGCTCAGAAGTTTTCTTCTCTTCTTTC